TAGTGAACGGAACCTATAATTATACTGGATTTATACAAATTCCTTACAGTGCAACTGGACCATTCACAGAGGAACGATCAATGGATGAAATGATTTTTGATCAAATGGGTGCTGTTGGTAAACCGGAACGCATGAATGCAGTTGGAGCCTATATTATTAGAGAATTATCGACTGCACCTCAAAAAGGGCGAATCAATTACACTGTAGAATACGACTATGACGAGAAAACTCGATTCTGTAGCGGTTTTATCAAAAAAATCTCCTTATTCCTTTGTCATCAAGAGCTGTAGAGATGTTCTTGGTGTTGGACTTCAAAACTGGCTGAACGATGCATTCTTAAAGAATATCACAGGAAGTACCAGTTTTAGAATCAAAACAAACACAGCACAAATGCCCTATGACACTTCAATTGCCACTTTCCAAATTGCAGATCTTTTGGGTTATTTCTTTTTCCCAATGATTTTATGTTTGCTATTACCTTCTTTCAGTTTCACAGTCGTATTAGAAAAACAATTCAAGTTGAGAGAAATGATGAAACTCATGGGTATGAAAATGAGATATTACTGGCTTGTGACCTATGTTTTCTTTTTCCTTTTGTATTGCATTTCAGCAGCATTATTTATTATTTTCTGCTTGATTTTTGGATTCAGATTTATTACTCAAACCTCTCCTCTATTGTTATGTAAGTTATTATTGTTTCGAATTTCAAGAGGAGACTGATGAACATTCATTGTGCTCTTGTGTATTTTTGGATTTCATGAGATGTTCAGTTATTTTCTTTATTTGCTGGGGAAACACATTGGTGAGCTTTTCATTCTTATTATCTTCCTTTATTGGAAAAACAATTGTGGCAACTATTATCAGCTATCTCATTGTGTTGATTGGACCAATGGTTGGTGTGATTCTCGAGATGCAACTTTTGACAAATGCTCCCAATGCTCGCTTTGGTCTCTTGCTAGTATTCCCATTACAAATTACTCATTTTGTCTATGCAACATCCAGTTCATGTAACAATTTGGATTGCTTACGAAAAGTATCTGACATTTATGACAACAAGTCAGTTTTCTTTTCACTCATTTACATGGTAGGAATGTCAGTGGTCTACTTTGTATTGAGCTTGTACTTTGATGCTGTTGTTCCTCAACCATTTGGTGTTTCAAGACATCCACTCTTTTTCCTCGAATGGATTTGGAAACCTTTCACAAAGAATCGAGTGAAGAAAAATTCACCAACGAGCAAGAACAAGATTTTACCATGCTCCTCTCCTTCTGATTCACAACCTACGCAAGATGATGAAATGGTTGTGGGTGCATCGAAACATCGTCTCGATGAAGTGGATTCAGATGTTTTAGAAGAATTCTTGAAAGTCAATCCTCCAAATCTCGATAAGAAACAAACTCTTGAACATTTGAAACGTTTAAAGAATGACTATGGAGTAGTATTTTATAATTTAGAAAAGACATATGGAATGAATCGAGCAGTGAAAGGAACTTGTTTAACCATTGGAAAGTCAGAATGTTTTGGATTATTGGGTATGAACGGTGCTGTAAGTGTTGTGCATGAATATTTTGTCTCTTATTCATTTTAATGTTGTTATTTTTGACAACTTGTTAACAATATTCACACACCACACAGGGTAAATCCACAACCATTTCCATGCTATCGGGCATGTTTGGTCCATCGAAAGGAACAGCTTTTGTCTACGGAAAAGACATTCGACATGACATGAATGATATTCATCAAATCATGGGTCTCACAGCTCAATTTGACATTCTTTATCCTGACTTGACTTGTGAAGAACATTTATTATTCTATAGTCGATTGAAAGGAGTCAAGTTGCAGTACGAAAAGGAACACGTTCAAAGTTTATTGAGACAAGTTGGATTAGACAATGAAACCTTGAAAACAAAATGGTCACCTAATTCAAGCGCACTCTCTGGTGGTATGAAGAGAAGACTTTCCATTGCCATTTCACTCGTTGCAGATCCAAAGATTATTCTTTTGGATGAACCCACCACGGGACTCGATCCTCTCAGTAAGAGACATTTGTGGAATATTATTTTAAATCAAAAGAAGAATCGAACGGTGATTTTAACAACTCACTCTATGGAAGAAGCAGATGTTTTGTGTGATCGTATTACAATCATGTCGAAAGGTTCATTTAAATGTTTGGGAAGTGGACTACGATTGAAGAATAAGTTTGGTGATGGCTTTTTATTGAGTGTGAGTTATGGAGCAGAGGATCAACAACGTGCTGAACAATATGTCTATGATTATGTTCCTGAGGCAGTGAAGGATTTAACTTTGACAGGAACGACCGTATTCAAAATTCCAAGTTTTTCTCGATCAGATTTGAGCAAGACAACTTCACAATCCATTGAGCATGCCACTCCAAAACAACAAATGGAAGCTAGATCCATTGCTGGTTTGTTCAAACATATGGAAAAAGGAAAGGTTGAACATGGTATCCATGAATGGGCTCTCAATCAATGTTCGCTCGAACAAGTGTTTTTGAATATTGTTCAAAAAGATTCTGAGAAAAGATCTGCCTCAGAGAAAGAGGTCAAATGTGCCAACAAGAGATCTACTGTACTCATTCGACAATGTTTGTGCTGATCATTGTACATATTTCATATTTATTAAATGAAGTATATTTCACATGAAGTTCCACGTTCGCTTTTGCGTCCACAGTTACATGAAAGGAAATTATTTTATTCAAACAAATTCTGTACATCTGCACCCTCGTCATCTTCCACTTGTATGGCAGCTGGGGTTGAAACAGCACCTTGAGAAGAAACATCTTCCATCATACTGAAGTTCAAAAGTGATGAGGACGATGAACTTCATGATAAAATTCTTTTGGTACACCAAGAGTGACACCATATTCCATATTTTCAGTGTGACCATATCCCATAAAGTAGTAGTTCCAAGATCCTTCCTCTGGAACCATGAAGAATCCCATGAATGACTCTGATAAAATTAATTGGACGCCTTCATAGAATGCACCATGATTAAATCCTTGTGGTTCGTCACTGAAAATGTCCTTATTCTTTCTTCCCCAATCATAACCTTCTGGTGTTAATTTATGAGCTGTCAAGTTGCAGGATCCAGGAGTAATTTGGCATGTAATAGTGACAGTCTTTTCTCCATCCCATGATTTGTGTTGGCTCATAACCTTCGAGTGGAAAGTGACATCTTGAGGAGTCAAAGTGGTGTGACTGACGGAGGAAGGTTGTGTGTGAATCCAACCAAGGGGTTCGAGAGAATTCAAAATTTCATGATCAGGAAGCTGCTTTGGAACGCTAATGGTCTTATGGGTACCTAATTGTGGAACAAGCACAATGCAATGAATCTCCTTGACCTTTGGATTGTCTTCAGGTGATTTTCCATAGACATAACCCATGACTTGAGTTCTTAAATCTGAAATTGCAATAAATTTCTTGAGAATATTCATTGGTAACACATAATCATAAGCGTTCTCAGAAATTTCCTCTTGCTCGATAAAGATACGCTTCGTTCTGATTTGAAGGTTGGGAGCAGAAATGGCTCTCATTCTCCAGTCGGTCTTACTACTGAAGGTTTCTTGTTCATAGGGAGTAGATGTCACAGTAATAATTTCTTCACCATAGGCGTTTGTTTTCTTGGTAGTAATAGTGGTAAGTTGAGTTGCCTCCTTAGCCTCCTTTTCAATCTCTGCGATTTGTTGTTGTTGGATGGATGGTGGAGCAATCTCCATACCGAGAATAATGTCACGAACTTCGGATTGAGTTAAAGAAGTGACTTTGACATTGTTCTTCTTTCCATAGTCCGACAAAATTAAATCCTTCAAGGCAAGCTCTACCTTCATCCATGTCTGATCATCCAAAGTTGGCCAAACATGATGTGGTTGAGTAATGGTTGTCTTGTTAGGCTTCAAAATCATCTTTGTCTTTTCAGCATTCACGTTAAATGCACGTAATATCAAAATTAATCTGAGGAAGGCAGTGTAAGAATTTGTGGTTTCTCTCCAGTCATCAAACAAGTTGAACACCAACATCTTTGGTTCGTTTGCCTTAATGACCAAGTCATTAAATTTATCAATCTTGAGCAGAGCTGAGAATGGTAAATTGAGTTCACTTCCCTTAATCACAATGTTAGGGAAGTCCAGCAAGTGAACTTCAAGAGGATCTAACAAACCCTTTCTTGTAACGATAATTTGTTTTGGTTGTTCTTCGACTGGAAGAGAACGAATCAAACTGGTAACTTCTTCTGCCGTCTTCCATTTAGCCAATTGTCCCTTACGTTTCTGACCAGCCCACACACTTGTGTGAATAACCTTCAAATAAAATTGACCAGTCTTTGGATTGAAGATAAAGATGGCACCGTTGATTGGCTTATTGGCAGAGTTACCTTCATGAGTTTGGTGAACAACAACACGATACACATTCGAGTCGTCCACAAACCAGATGGTCTGATTACTGAACAACTCTCCATAATTTTGACTGTTCAAATATGGTTCAGTTGGCTCTGAAGAATACAATTGAAGACCCTTTCGAATACGTTCTCTGAGAACATAGAGAGCTGGATTGGCTTTCATAATTTTGGCCATAGCCTTACGAATGAGAGGTTTTGAACCAGGGAACCAATTTCCATACGCAGACATGTAATTATAGGCAAGGTCGATACCAATCAATACACCTGTGGGTGAAGGATAGAATGAGAGATTGTCGTTGGTATAGTCCAAAAACTTGGAACGAGAGTACCTTTCAATGTCGTGAGAGTCAAAGTCACCCCATCTCAATTGTACGTCAACCCAGTACTTGTTTGAGCTAGTGTCATAGGTGTCGTTAGTTTCTGTCAAGAGTGATGGTTTAGTAATTTGCCACTTGTATGCTGCGAAAAGCAAAATGTCGGCACATGAAGAGTTCATCTTGTAGGATTTTCTTGGGTGAATGGTTTCTTTTGAACTGTTTGAATTTCAAGAGTGTCAACCTGTTGATCGAATACTTGACACAAGTCCATCACAACACTTTCGTGAATCTTTTGCCACAAGTGAGCACGGAAGATTTGAATAAGAGAAATCTTGAGTGTTGGGATTTTACCGTGCATGAAAATACCTGTCAAATCCAATTGAACTTGGAAACCCACATAAACATTGGCACGATTAATAGTTGGAGACCACCATAAAGTGAATCTTCTGTTTGGAATTTGGTTCAAACCAGAACGCTGAGCGTTTGTGAGTTTCTTGAATTTCATACTCTCTTCGAAGCCGCTTGCGTTCCCAGAAGAGACCTTCCCAAGTCACAAAGTAAGTACCCTTGAATAAGGTATGTTCCAAAATACATTCAACACCTCCCAGAGCTTGAATCATGTCTGTTCTGTAATTATTAAGAGACCACAATTTACCATCGTGACGTGTTTGAGTCCACCAGAATGGATTTTGTTTCAAAACTTGATATGCTTTGAATTCGTTTCTAACTCTCCAACCCTTGTCATAAGCAAGAATATGTCGATCTTTTGGAACAAAGTGTTGATTCTTGGAATACCTCGATCCCATGAATCTTCCAAGTCACTAAGAGCAAGTTTTCTGTTCTTTTCCATTGCATCCTTTCGTTTTGCAGCATATTCTGCCCATACACGTTGCGAATCAATAAATTCTGATTGCCATGGTTGAATATATCTATAGAGATTAGGAATTAATTGACCTTCTTCGTGGCTCATACCTGCACGGAAATGAGTAATTCCAGTCTCTGTTTGCTTGGAATATCTAAGATCAGACTGTGGAATAAGAATATGGCCCATAGAAAGCATACCCAAGCCTCCTAATTCTTTTGGAGTATAAAACACAACAGGAGGAAAGCGAGAAGGCATCTTGGAGTTGAGACCTATCTTGATTCTTGTTTGAATCTTGTTCTCACACTTAACGAGTAAATCAAGCATTTCTGGAGTGTTAATCACTGCCTCACGGAAATAGGTCATTAAACCAATGAGAGCAGTGTTCCACTTGTTGACAATCTTGGTGAAGGTTGTGGAACCAGAGGCCATAAGAACCATTCTGATACGGTTTTCAAATTTTCTCATTGATGACTCACTCACTTTGAGGTATGCCTGAGCAATTCTCTCTTTGGTAATTTCATTACGAAGATCCCAAACTCCATCCTTTGAAGTTGTGAATTGTTGAGATGGAGCACGAATCTTTGGTAAAATTCTAATTTCAAAACCAGACATGCTGAACAAAAGATTTGGATTGTCCTTGCTATATACAGAAACAAATGAGTCTTGCCATTTCAATGTGGTAAGGGTTTTGGGAAGTCTGTTCTTAATTTCCCAGAACACTGCTCTCCCAAGATTTACATCATGTTTCATTAAACGCATACGGGCATCTCTAGGCCAGCACTTCTTGTTATTGTAGCCAACAATGTTTTCATTGTTTGGATCTGGATGTTCAGTGAGGTATTTTTGAATGAGAGAACGTGCTTCCTCATGAGTGAATTTGAATAACATGTGGAATTCGTCAATATATCTAGAGTAGAGTCTGATAGGACTGTTCGTTTCTGTTTGTAAATCCTTAAAGGTCAAGAAGACATTAGGATCTCTTGGAGGTCCAGCAATTTCACTTGCTCTATCCAAACCAAGCATTAGCAGATCCAATATTAAACAATAATATTGAGAAATAAATGAAGAGAATTGAAGGCCTCTGATCAATCCGTACATATTCACATGACTCATATCCTTGAAGGTAATGGTCACATTGTTCTTTGCAGTCATGTAGTCAGCCAAATTACTGTCAACAACAAGTCTCAATAAACGATTCAACAGAATTGGGTCCATCTTTTCCCAAACCTTATCGAATTTGGATTGCATCATGACAACACATTCGCCATTCGATGTCTCCCAAATATCTGCCAAATTGTTGATAGCCTGACACCATTTGTAGATTAGCATTGGTGGAGGCTCAGAATCAGAAGGTTTAACCCAGTTAGGGAAGAGTCCTCTTTTTATCAGCCTCATACCACAAATATTGGTCCAAATAAGCATCCGTAATCTTTTCTATTGGTTCTACATCGTAAACAGGAATGAGCGAGCTGTATAAATCCATAAATTCTATGGAAACTTCCTTGAATGTTCGTTGCAAAAGCAAATGTTTCTTAATTCTTGTCAAGGCCTCGTGTGGATTGTTGTAGGCCTGTTCAATCAAACCTAGTTCTTCTCTTTGTGAATGATTCAATCTACTTTTAACACTGTATGCTTCTTTCAATCTTTCAAGAGCCAAAATTAATAGCTTGGTATCGTGCTTATAAGAGAGAGGAGGGA